AAGCACAGACAATGAGGATTTTGTTAGAAGCAAACAAGCAAATAAACTATTTCTTCCTGTTTCCTGGTGTTTCTTTTTCCTTATCCCCCCTGCAATCTTCATACAGTTGCACATTATATAATAATCATATATAAACAAGTTTGGTTGAACTGCTGATATAATATCAAATATCTTCAAGTAACTAAAGGCTAAAAAAATAGTGATTATATCTATTTGTTTAAGATGGTAAGTATCTGTTTTCTTTCTCCAAATTTACATCATTTGAGAGGCCAAACTAGCTATTGATGTAGCAAGTTAGGCAGTTTCTTGATTTTCTTCAAGTGCTTCTGATGGCTTCCCTGATGTAATATTCACCTAATCTGCTAAAGTACAAAACCCCAAGAATTTAAAAACAAGATCTTGGTCAACTGAAGATATATGTTAATATTATAGTCTTCAGAACCAGATTTGATCCCCATCCGAAGATCCTCAGAGTTCTTGTCCCAGCCAAGTTAACAAACGAAAAATAAGAGAATTGATTAAGAATCGTACTTCCTGCACGGGTTACTTTAAATCAACACCCCCCCCCCCCGGGTTGCACGATAAGTAATTTTATGCAACACGTACGTGCTGATGAAATATTACATTTTCAGTAATCACTAGAAAAAATCCGAGTTGGTTAATAAGTTTTTTAATCAAGCTGCCAATAAAAATATATATGATATCAGATCAATATATAGCTGTTATACAAAATAATTCCTCTTGCTGCATAATGATTCACAGATGAATCTTATTGGCACCCAAATAGAAAGATAATGGAAGAGAGAGTTAACACCATGCCATTTTTCACGAGCATCATGAGCTTAAGGGGGAAAATAAATTTCATCAAATATCTATTTTTGTTCGAATCAGAAACCACGTCTTATTTTTCAAGGATCGAAGGGATAGTACAGGGCAGATTCCAAGTTATTGAGACTTGATACTGGTTTTGTCTAGTTCCTCCAAGAATTAAAAGAAAAAAAAAATTATTGTTCGATTTTGCGAATGCTAGTTTTTTGAGCTTATGTTTTATAGATTTATCTGTGATGAATCTGTAATTCAAGTAACTTGATTATGAAGAAAACAATCTTAAAGTTAAACCTACTGTACCTCATTATATGAAATTTATGATTTTAATTACTGTATAAATGCCATTTCTAAACGAAACCCGGATGAGATATTTACTTCATTGCTAAATATAGCTTCCTCTGCAGTATGAATAACTCGATAGCGCGCACTAAGGTTCAAATTAGCAAGAAAAGGTTTCCTGCCAGTGATCAGGATGGACAAGCTTGATAAACGCAATCTTTATAATCCACATGTCAAAACAAACACACCATAATAACGCGAGTTACAACAAGAAGCATTTAAAAATGAAGAAATGGCATTTACCGGCGCTTACTTCATATTTCTCTGCAGAAATGACAGCAAAGTCTCCGAGCAGGAGGAAGCAAAATAGCGGAAGATATTGGTTTTAGACGTCTGAAAATGTCTCATAACTACTTGACCCAGAGAGCATCCTTGGGAACTTTTTCCTATGAAATATTTCATGTGTTTTTGCATTCATAGCCAAGAGATTACGGGCTCAGATCTACATTACTACAACACAAAGTCTAGAGGAAAACAGAATGGGAGCACGGGCTGAAAGAGGAATGATTCATTTTCAAAATTGATGAGTACCTTAATCAATTTCCAAAAGGAATAACAGCATACTCTGTTGCAGTTAAATGCCCAGAAAAAGAAAGCATGCAAGCCAATATTTATTTTGGGGGAATCCCATAGAAAAACACCTTAACTTTTTAAAGCCGAAAGTTGACTACAGAAATGGAATAAATATATGAAATGGCATAAAACAGCAATCATAAGAAACCGGAACTAAGTTCTCAGTGTCTTGGAAATCTTCAGGCCTGTACAATTTCAAGTGTTGATGCCTGGGAGGCCATGTTTTCCATGCAGCAAGGGAGGCTTGGCAAGCCAAGGCAGGCCTGGACATGGTAACCAGGGATTACAAACACACTGTTACATTGTTCCTCAATTTCAGAGCTTCTGCTTACTCTCCAGCTTTTATTGTCCAGGCAAAAAGAAAGAAGAATGCAAATAAGGTATTAAGTTTTGGATATTCTCCACCCACTAACCTTTGCGTAGATGGCACTGCAGCTCCAAAGCTCTTCAACTCCGGTAGTTCAAAGAAATGTAGTTTATGCAGCATTGGCATTAAACATGCTGCTGTTCCATCAAACTCAAATAGACTCTTGAGATTATCACAATAACTACTTTGAAGGATCTCAAGGGTAATTGTTAGTTGCGCTGAGGAGAAAACAGCATGAAGTAGGGGGAGCAGTCCGTGGTCATTAGCGGAGTCAATCTGACTATAGACAATTTGAAGAGATGAGATAAGATTTTGGTTAATACTTGTTATCTTTATAAGATGGCAGAAGAGAACTGCAACCATGTTCTACTTTGGTATCCTGTAGTTTATAAGCTTTGAACTACAGCTTATGGGCTGTTAGACATCAATTGAGTGATGGCAGGTTCGGTTAGAGACGAAATTTGGGCATGAAAAAAGTACTATTCGCCGAAGTCCCTCAAAGAAATTGCATTTTTTAGGTCAAGTACCTCAAGATTTTTATGTCCTTCCATGGCCAGTAGAGTTTCAAGTAATCTGCAATCTCTTAGAAATAGATTGTGAAGGTTAACAAGCTTGGATACAGATGGTAAGGACCAGATACTGGTGTTTTGGAGATAAGATGATGATGCCATCCCAAGTGACTAAAGGATTCATCTTCAATATTGGCTAAATCAGCATAACCTGAAATATTAAGGAAAAAAAGATCTTTACAATCTACTGTACTTGGTGTTTGTTCGATCCGATAAGAACATCGTAAGATGATATGAGAAAGGTTGAAAAGTAAGGCAGATGACCAAACTTTCTAATAAATCGAGAACTTTAAGGCCATCAGTCTCAAAAATTTTAGAAGGGATTGCCTTTAAAGAGATGGCACCTGAAAGATCAAGAATTTGAAGATTATATTATCCAACAAGTTCAGGATGTCTGCATAGGTGCCTACAGTTTCCTAATATCAGATAAGTTATGCCTCAGATAAGTTGAGGCTTTGGTGAAATATTTGCTCAGATAGATCATTTGGTATTGCAGTCAATGATGTACCGCCTGATATATCAAGAAAAACTAATGATTTGAGTTCCCTAATGTGATCAATATTATCCATAAACTCATGTTCTCCAGAAACTCACAGCCTCCAAGGACAAGAACTGTAAGTTTTTCTATTTGTGATGGGGATGCCGTTAGATATTTGAGAATGGGCCTGAAGATCCCGAGAATATGAAGATCCTTTAGCTGTCTAAAGAATGTATCAAGGAATTCTTTGCTGAAACTGTTACCGTGAAGCAGTAACTTTGAGATTTTTGCTGACTCTCTATACCCAACTGTTCTTCTTATGCAATCAATCTGTGCAATGTCCCTAAAGCCTTCCCACATAAAGTCATCTAAAGCAGGAGCCCATTTCCAAACAGTACTCTGTGGGTAACAGCAATCTTCTGGACCCACTACCCGAATAGCTTTGGAATCTATACCACCAGTGTATTATATAGTCTTCTTCTCCTCTTCTCCAGCAGTAAGAAGATGACAGCACCGTTCCAATCGTGATCACATAACCGGCCTCTACCTGTTTAAGCAAGCCATTTTGTAGGAGCTCCATGAGAACAGTACAGTCCTTGTCGAAAGCTTCCTTCTTCTATCGAAAAGAGAAATCAAGAAGTACAAGAAATGGAGAGATATATATCTCTCAGAAAAAGTTATCCACAGTTACTACAGTAACATTACAGAATTCAGTCAGAAACTTAAGCATAGTACTACTAAGAACATCAATACATCTGATTTTTGTATATTTCTCCAACATAAATATAAATTAATTCACCGCCAACCTAATTGAACCACAATATTAATAACGTTACCCATATGATTTTTCGGGTCAAGTTCATGGCTTAACTTAAACAACTAAAGATTGATGTGAAAGATCAGAACTTTCTCTTTCTTTTTCTCAATTTTTGCTTCAATCAATCATAATGCAATCCAAATCTAGTGTAAAGGCATAGTGATAAAAATTAAAAGGAGACTCACTCAAGAGACATGTTAAGCAACCAAGATTATTTTGGTAACTTTCTGAATCGACAGAGACGTTGTATTTTAGAATCTTTATGATGTTTCCTTCATCTTCGTGGTCGTCATCTTCTTCTTCCAGCTGTTTCTCAAGAGGTTCCATAGCACCAATCTCCCTGGTAAGATTCTATGAAAACTACAGCTTGTACACTTCCATCAGTCTATTTCACAAATTAAGAGTGGCTCGTTTGATCCCTACTAATTAATAATAAGTTTATACACCTATTATCTTTTTTCTTTTTCGCTAATTAAAGATGAAGTCTGTTTATTTTGAAATAATCGTAACTTAAATTTGATGTACATGAAATATTACATAAAATTTTTATTAAATCTAACTCTTTATCTAAAGCCAATAACCATGTTCTATTAAATCATTTTTACATTTCGTATTTGTATGATTCTGGTGAGATGTTAAAAGTCATTTTACTTGTAAATTTATTTACAAATCGGTATTATCTCTCCCTCCATATTGATAGAATATATTTACTCAAGTTAAGCAAGCAAATGAGAAATAGCATAAGACACAGGCCAAAAAATAATCATTGAGTGTGAATCAACTAAATTTAGTTAATCAAATAAAGATTCCAAAATGGAACACTGCTCTGTTATGTTTGATCTTCATAATGTTTGATTTAAGTTGATGATTTTTTTTTTTAATTTCTCGTCACAACAATCAACCACTAGCCAAAAATTCCTCTAGAGTATTTGGAAAGACCTAATTATCACTTGATTCTCGCTCAGCAGAGCATAAAACATAAATCGAAGCCAATAAGAGAAGTCATATGAAAAAAAGAAGACCGACAAATTTGCATACTTCAATCATGACCTGTAATATCAATTCATTTCAACTAGAGAAAGTCTTTCAAAGAGGGAGTTGAATTCCAAAAGTTTTGACATTTCCATTCCCCTACATCCAAAAGGAGATTAACACAAGGAAAAAAAACTACACATCTCCTTCTCCAAACTCCTATCTGCAGATAAGTTTTTTACCTTCCTGAGTCCCCAGTGTTTCTACCCACTTTCTTCTCTGTACATATAATACATATAGACAACTATATCATAGAACTGGAACTATCAACTTTGCCTTTAGTTTAAAAAAAGAAGCTAAACTATCATTAGCCTATCAAGTTAGTCCCTTCTTTTCCTTGGTTTTCTTCAAGGGACTGTGATAGCCTCCTTGATGTAAGTCTCTCAAAGTAAGAGTTCAACTGTTATTTGTCAATGTCAAACACTAATTCTCTTCATTCTCCACACTGGAACCATTTTCAGCAATTTATTGAATTTTTCCTGCAAACAGACAAACAGTAAAATGAAATCAGTCAAGAGTGAGTCATTTCTTTTTTCTTTCTCCTTTCATAGGGAAAACCTTAAAACAACTCAAGGGTCACAAACAATCTGATGTTTGTCGCAGCTTAACTTATTAAAGCTTTCCCTTTGTTTAAAAATGTTTTGAGTATGGTTATGCACCAAAGAATTCCTGTGAAAAGAATAAAAATTTCTAAAAATATAGCAAACCAACATATAATTGTCCACTCCTTCGGAAATGATCAAAGCCCTATTAATATATCCAACCATGCATTGAATTTTCCAATTCCACAAAACACTAGCAGGAATCAATAGTTGGCCTAAAGAAATAATGTCACCTAAAAGCATGAGAATTTCAGCACTGATACTCCACATTAGCAATGGACAATTCCAAACAATAAGCAGAAAAGTTTATCTTATGTATTGCGAAGAAAAGAATTTACCCAAGAATTTCTCAGCCAATGTTGGCTAGGGCATCTCATTAACTTAAGTGCAAATATATGAAACTCAAGTACAAACATAAGAATCCCTTGCCAGTTGGAAAGAAGTAGCACAAAAGTTATTACCTCTTTAAGAAAATATATTTAAATTACAAGAGAAGTAATTCTGCTTTTGTTGAAGCTCTTGGAAATGCCATAACTTCTCAATAATCTTAGACTTCTTTCCATCATCAGCTTCAGTACCATTCCAACGGGTAAAGATGGTCAACTTCACTATGCTTTTGCATTCCCAAGGAAAGCTTTCACGAGGCAAAAATCAATTTCTTGTCCAACAAACAAGGTAATGTAAATATATTCCAGAAAATTTGGCATCCCAACAGTCTCAAGGTGTTCTGAATTCCATGCCAAGACAGACGCATATGAAGGCTGTCCTTGTGCCTGCACATTTTGACATTTATTCAGAAAAGCAAAACGATAATAGCAATAACAATGATAAACTTGCATTTAACAATTAAAAACACACTGCCACAAACAATACTGGCTAATAAATATGCATTGAATGTGAATGGAATTTAAGTTTAGGAACTCACAAGCATGAGGAAAGTCAGCGATAAGTACATTCGGCATTCTACTGAGGAAGATTATAATTCATCAAGATACGTTTCTTGGATGGCCAGACAGACAGATAGACAATACTCAGCTTGTGAAAAGTGATTGCATTTGCATATGTCCATGAATTACTTGCCTTGTAGAAGAGAAGCTGCAACACCAAGGAATATCATGGGGTTACTTGTATTCTTTAAAAGAAAAACTAAGAGAATGCATTATCCATCAAAGAGCCAAAAAAAATAAAGTTATTAGCAAAAGAAAAAAGGAAAAATCAAGAAGTATAAGAAATAGACAAAGCATATACCTCTAAGAACAAATTATCCACAATTAGTACAGTGACATTTCAAAGTTCACTCAGCAACTTAAACGCAGTGCAACCAAAAACATCTGTACTCATTTGGTTTCTATAGAACTCTCTAGCTTGAATATCTGCATAACGAATAGAAGCACCACCCTTAATTTGACAATTTCGTGCAAGATTTCCCCTCAATAAGTGATACAAGACTTGTTTAGAAGATTAATCACAGTGGTTTTGGAGCCCGCGACGATAGTCTTGAGTCTGAGAGCAGAAACATTTAGAACCTTTAGACAAGACAGGTCACAATTCCACAAATGCACAGATTCCAGCACCTGACATGATGAGAATAATTCCTCTGTCAGACAGCCATCAGTGAAAATGACACCTCCAAGAGGCACTTCTTGAAGACTGGGAAGCTAAATGGATCTGGAGCATCTGAGAATATAGAAGCCTAGCAAGAAAGTAAATCTTTTCAATGTTCTGGAGGAAAAGATACAGGAGCCAGACCCACTTGGTTTAGAAAAAAGAGCTTCACTAACAAGATCTTGAACATTATGCTTCAAAGCAAAATCAATCCATTCAGTCTTTAAAATGATGTGTGCTCTTCCTCTGCATAATTTGAATTTGACGACTGGTATATCTGAGTCATCATGATGCACGAGCGTCTGGTCTATGAATTTATCAGGTCTACTTTCAGCATCGGAACCTCAACAAGATCTGGAAGAAAAATTTGATGAACGACTCATAATTAAAGACTTTATATCCCACCAGCACCAGAGTTATATCAAGTGTGCATGATCATGGTTATGTATAGTGTTTGTAAATAATAATCTATTTTTCCATAAACGAATGCATTCCAAAAATGTACGTTGGTCATGCAAAATGGGAGTAAACCTAACCCTAAATCTTAACCAGCAGAAATGTCCAAGTAGTTATCACAACCAATGTTAACAAATGAGGCCACATAGTAATAACTGCATTTTAAGTAATATCAAAACTAAAAGCTGTTAAACAATATACACTATTTAAAAAGTATCACTTTTTTAGAAAAAAAATATATATATAATGTAACATTATTTTCCATAAAATAAAAAAAAAAGGTCAGAATTGAGTAGTGGACTTACCAAATCTTCCGAAATATAAAGCTTTCACTATGGTGCTTTTTCCCACTCTTTATTTCTTCAAAAAAAAAAAAAAAATTACTAGAATTGCCAGAGAACTGCCAGGAAAATTACTAGAATTTAGTTTCAGAATCCATTCGTATTCCCTAGTTGTTAAAAAGCTTTCAACCTTATATAATCAACTATTAAATCAAACACGTCTAGATGTAAACACCGGAACTAGATTCAAAATCCAATTAATTACATCTAATAAACTCAAATTTTCTACACAAAAATTACCATCAATCCATATCCACCAAAATTATAAATGTAAGTCACCCAGATCATTTTTCCAGTCAAGTTCATTGCTTGACCTAAACAACCCGCAATTGAAGTGAACGATCAAAAATTTTCTCTTTGTTTTCCTCAATTTCTGCTTCAACCGATCATGACGTAATCCAAATCAAATGCAAAAGCAGAGTGATAAAAGATCAAAAAGAGGCTCACCCAAGAGACAACAACCGAGATTACCTTGGTTAATTACTGATTCGACGAAAGGAGTTCATGATGCATGATGGTTCCTTCATCTTCATCGTCGTCGTCATCTTCTTTCTCTAGCTGTTTCTCACCGGGTTTAATAGCATCCATCTCTCTGCTAAGATTCTATGCAGACTTCCCTCAATCCATTCCACAGCTCAGAAGCGGCTGGTTGGATCTCCGGTGGCTAACGATGAATTTATAAACCCTAACTCTCAAAACACAAACAAGTTCCACAAAATACCCTGACCCGATTGTGTTTCATTCGGGTTTGGCTATTGAACCGATTACACCTCTTTATTTTCCAAGTTTTAATATTTTCAAATAAAAAATTACAAAAAAGTTTTAATTAAAATATAACTTTTATCTATTTTCCTCTCTCCACTTTATTCAATATATATTAGAAAAAACAAACATTCTATAAACATTTTATGTTTAGTTTAATTTTATATTTTTAAAAAATACATTAATTTAATATATTTTTAAATAATTATATCTGTATATTTCTTAAATATATTATATTTTAACAAAAGAATAAATGAGTAAATTCATCTAAATTTTTTTTAAAAATTTTAACTTTTTTAATTATTATAACAAAATCAATTATTATTAAATAAAAATTAATTTTTAAATATTATTAAATCTTAGTTCAATTATAATTATATTTGATAATAATCACAAAAATTCTTACAATTAATTAAAAAAATATTACTAAAATAAATCTATATTTATTTATATTTTTTAACAATTAACAAATTTTTTTTTATTAAAATATTTATATAGTCAACAATAGAAATATATATAAAAGTTCAACTATGCCTACAAGCACCCACATGAAAAATAGTAGTCTTTAAAAGTGGAGATAACCAGCATACGATGTCTTTGATTAGGAAAAGATCAAAAATACTAAACTCAAGCGAATATAGCATTGGGGGTTTTCAAGTTCTAATAAGACATAACAGGAGCAAGAGTTGGGCTTAAGGCAAAATAATTAGTTATTGACAAAAGCATGAAGGCTTGGGTAATGATGCTTATGTTGTGAGGGGAAAAAATGCTTTAAAAATAACTTGAAATGAAGAAGGGTCTCTGAGTAATTGATGAAACTTGTTGTAGAAATCTTCATAATTTCCCAATGTTTCTTTCTACTTACTATCTGTACATATAATACATATACACAACTATATTACAGCACTGAGGCAATAAAGTTTGCCCCCTGGTATAGAAAAAGATTGAACAAAATGTACATCTATTTACAAGAGTAAACATAGGTTTCGTCAAGAGGCTAAAATATCATTAGCCTATCGAGTTAGCCCCTTTTTATCTTTGGTTTTCTTCAAAGGGATGTGATAGCTTCATTAATGTAAGTCCCCCAGAATACAAGACAAAAGAGTTAAAACTTTTGTTGTGTCAACGTCAAACACTAATTCTCTTCATTCTCCACACAGAAACCATTCAGCAATTTGAATTTTTCCTGCAATCAGACAAACAGTAAAAATGATATCAGTCGAAATACAAGAGCAAGACCGAAACAATCTGATACTCATTGCAGTTTAACTTGTTAAAGCTTTCCCTTTGTTAAAAAATGTTTGACTATGGCTATGCACCTAAAAATTCTACAGCAAAAATAATAAAAATCTCTGAAGTTATAGCTATCCAACATATGATTATCTGCTTCTTAGGAAATTATTGAAACACTAGAAATATATCCAACAACACATTGAATTTTCCAGTTCCACAAACCACTAGTAGGGACTAAAAGTTGGACTGAGGAAAATATATTACCTACAAAGTATGTGTATTTCAGTACTGATACTCGAAATTCCCAACAATAAGCAGAAATGTTTCTTTTATGTATGGCCAAGAAAATAATTAACAGAAGAATCTTTCAACCAATATTGGCAAGGGCATCTCACTAACTTAGTGCCAATAACTAGCTCTTTTCAGAAACTAAAGTTTAATTTACAAGAGAAATACTTCTGTTTTTGTTGAAGCTCTTGGAAATGCCAATAACTTCTCAATAATCTTAGACTTCTTTCCATCATCCGATTCAGCACCACTCTGAAAGGTAGTGGCCAACTTCACTAATGCTTTCGCATTCTCAAGGAAAACTTTCACCAGGAGAAGATCAATCTCACGTCCAACAAACTTGTTAATGTAAATATATTCCAGAAAATTTGGAATCCCAACAGTCTCAAGGTTTGTTGAAGCTCTTGGAAATGCCAATAACTTCTCAATAATCTTAGATTTCTTTCCATCATCCGATTCAGCACCACTCTGAAAGGTAGTGGCCAACTTCACTAATGCTTTCGCATTCTCAAGGAAAACTTTCACCAGGAGAAGATCAATCTCACGTCCAACAAACTTGTTAATGTAAATATATTCCAGAAAATTTGGAATCCCAACAGTCTCAAGGTTTTCTGAATTCCATTCCAGAGTCAACACGTATAAAGGCTGTTCTTGTGCCTGCACATTTTAATATACTTCAGAAAAACAAAATAATAATAATAATAATAACTACAGTAAGCATGCATTTTAACAATTGAAAACCTGCTGTCCCCAAAAGATAATGGCTAATATATATGCATTAAATATGAAGAAAATCGAAGCTTATGAACTCAGAAGCATTAGAAAGTGGGCGCTATGTACATTTGGCAGTCTACCGAGGAGGATAGTTATCATCTGTATACGTTTCTTGGATGGCCAGACAGACAGATATACATTGCTCATGTCTTAAAGTGATTGCATTTGCATCTGCCCATGAATGACTGGACTTGTAGGAGAGAAGCTGCACCACCAAGGAATGTCAGAGGTTACTTGTATTTTTTAAAAGGAAAAGTAAGAGGATGCACTAAAGAAATCAAGTAATTAGAGCAAAAAAGGAAACAAACGATAAGTAGAAGAAATAGACAAAGCATATACCTCCCAAAAAACATTATCCACAGCTAGTACAGTAACATTACAGAGTGCAGTCAGCAACTTAAAAGCAGTACAACTAAGAACATCTGTACTCATTTGCTGTTTATAAACTTCTCCAACTTGAATATCTGCATGATGAATACAAGGACCGTCCCTAATATGATAGTTTTGTGCAAGATTTCCTCTCAGTATAATGATATGAGACTTCAGGTACGAAAATTGATCTCAATGTTTTTGAGCTCAATGTCGTCTTCATCATCGTCGTCATCTTCTTTATCTACATGCCTTCACAGCAAGTGTTATAGGAACATCTCTATGGAAAGATTGTAGACTTCCTTAGGTATTTCACGGATTAGAAGC